TATTTTTTAAAAATGGGCAATGACATAGCCACAGGGGACACCAGGGACGAATCCTAATAATACCAAGGGAAGATCCCAGGATTGGGAGGTCTTAGGAATTATGGTTGATATGCTTAGATGTGATTATGGTATTATGGCAGTGTAAGAAAACATCAGTATTGTTTAAAGATGAGTACCAAGGTATGTCCAAGAGAAATAAAATGTCTAAGGTTTGCTTTAAAATAGTCCAGAAAAAGAAAAAAACATGATAGATGACACAAATGTGGCAAAATATTGCGAGTATCCAAGATATTCTTCTTTCTGATCTGTTTTATAATAAATAAAATTATAATAAATAATTTTATAATAAAATTGTTTTAAATAAACATACTCAGCCTGTTCCAGATGACAGATATGTCCATGCTGTTTTATACAGTTCAAGCACAAACATTAGGGTGGGTCTGGGGCGCCACTTGTGACAGCCACACCCCAGTCAAGGCTGCTCCCCTTCCCCTCCAGCTCATGAGCCATCTGGTCTCCTGCTGGGTCTTTAGGGGCTGAAAGTAGAACGGATGAGTAGGAGGTGGGCCGGGAAGTCAGGTGCACAAATGGGGAGTACCCAGGGAGAGGGGACAGGGCACCCATGGGGCGAGGCTTAGGTCTGGGGAGGTGGGGAGAGGGCAAGGAACCAGGGAAGAATGGGGGTCAGATCAGAGTCTTCGAAGCGGGGGCGGGTGGGATCCGGAAGAGAGTGTGATGGGGGTGGGGCACAGAAGGGTGCGCATAAAGCTCCCCTGCCCCGGCCCTGTGGGTGGGAGGGGCTGCAAGCCTGGGCCGGGAGATGCCTGTGGGGCTCCCAGGCTCTGCCCAGTGGTCAGCCACGCTTCCTGAACAGCTGGGCCCAAATCACTCAGGTACAGAGGAGGAAGCTGAACCAGCCACAAGAATTAGTTTCCAAACCCGCGTGGCAGGTGAGTGGCAGCTCAGTCCTTTCTTGACACACCTGATCCACAAATATTTTGGGGGCATCTCTGCCACCTCTGGAAATGGGACAGAGACCATCATTTTTTTTTTTTTTTTTTTGCCTCAGGTGCACAGGGCTGTTGCATCCTCTTTCATTCCTGTGCCACCGTCAATTGTCCTAGCAGCTTCTCTGTTGTTTATTAAAAGCATGGGCACCATGCGAATCCAGCCCCCAGCACAACCAGTAGGAATATAGGAGATGCTTCTGCTGATGCCAGCTCCTCAGAGGGCACCATTATCCTAGATTGTGTGTGTTTCATTTATCCTTCTCCTAATGGTCATGTGTTTTTAGTGTTCTTATTTAGTTAGTTAAAAGACAGGGTAACAGTGATAGACAGACAGAGATATCTCCCATCTGCTCATTCATTCCCCAAATGGCTACAACAGCTGGGGCTGGGCCAGAAAGAAGCCAGGAGCCTGGAACTCCATCCCCGTCTCCCATATGAGAGGCAGGGATCCAAGCCATCTTCCGCTGCTTTCCCAGGCACATTAGCAGGGAGCTGGATTGGAAGTACAGCAGCCAGGATTCGAACAGGTACTCAGATAAGGGATCCCAGTGCCTCAAGCGGTGGCTTAACCCACTGTACCACAATGCTAGCCCATCTTTTATTTGTTTAAAAAAAAGTTTATTTGTTTTCATCTACTTGAAAGAGCAAGAACAGAGAGAGAGAGAGAGATCTTCCATCTGCTTGTTCACTCCCCAAATGCCTTCAATGGCCAAGGCTGGGCCAAACTGAAACCAGGAGCCAAGAACTCCATCCCCATCTCCCATGTGGGTGTCAAGGACCCAAGGACTTGGGCCATCATGCACTGCCTTCCCAGTTGCATTCCAGGCCTGGAATGTAGCCCCCAAATGCCCAGGTACAGGCAGAGCCAGGTCCCTGCAGCTCCAGCCCAGAGAGAGGGGTACTTTGTCCCCACAGGGGGGTAACTCCAGTGAGGGTCCGTGAAGGCGCCTGCTGTCTGCTGGGTCCCCCCCCCACCGCCAAGGCTGGTTCCATGTGTCCCCCTGTGTCTCCCCTTCTGTCTTGGCCATTCCTGGGGCAGAGAGCCCTCTGGAAGCCTCCTGCAGCCTACACTTTCATCTCAGGGAGCCCTAGGAGGCTCAGAGGCTCAGCCGTCAGCACTGGAGGGTGTCACTGACATTGTCGTGGCCCCTTGGGTGTTACACTGCCAGGGGCGCCCTACCCCCACAGCTGCTGCTCCTCCCCTCCCAGGGCCTTTCTCTAGCTCCTCAGAAGGTGACCTTGACAAGAGTCGCGGAGACCATCAGAGAAACAACCACTCTTGGAGCAGCATTCCGCCAGCGCCCGCAGGAGTCAGTGTGTCAACACCCAGACCCCTCACCCTCGGGTGGGACACAGCAAGGGGTCTCTGTCCATCTCCCAGAGGGACACGGATCCAGTGTCCCCTGGTGCTAACCTGCTCCAGGGTGGGCCTCCACTACATTTTTTTTAAAGATTTATTTATTTATTTGAAAGTCAGAGTTACAGAGAGAGAGAAGGAGAGGCAGAGAGAGAGAGAGAGAGAGAGAGAGGTCTTCCATGCACTGGTTCACAGCCCAATTGGCCGCAACAGTCACAGCTGCGCTGATCCAAAGCCAGGAGCCAGGAGCTTCTTCCAGGTCTCCCACACGGGTGCAGGGTCCCAAGGACTTGGGCCATCCTCTACTGCTTTCCCAGGCCATAGCAGAGAGCTAGATTGGAAATGGGCAGCTGGGTCTCAAACCGGTGCCCATATGGGATGCCAGCACTGCAGGCCAGAACATTAACCCACTGCACCACTGCGCCGGCCCCTCCACTACATTTTAATAAATCCTTTCTTTCAGTTAAATTTACCTTTTTCCCATATGAATTTCTGCTTTGAAAATAAAATAAAGGGCCAGAGTTGTGGTGTAGCAGGTAAAGCTGCCACCCCCAGTGGGTGTCGGTTCAAGTCCCAGCTGCTCCACTTCCAATCCAGCTCTCTGCTTTGGCCCTGGAAAGCAGTAGAAGATGGTCTAAGTCTTTGGGCCCCTGCACCCACATGGGAGACCCGAAAGAAGCTCCTGGCTCCTGACTTTGGATAGGCCCAGCTCCTGCCATTGTGGCCATTTGGGGAGTGAACCAGTGGATGGAAGACCTCTCTCTCTCTCTCTACCTGCCTCTGCCTCTGCCTCTCTGCTCTGCTCTCTGTAGCTCTGCTTTTCAAATAAATAAATCTTTTAAAAATCAAAATAATATTTTATAAATAATAAATTTCTGTGGCTCAGAATCCAAAAGGTAGGTACAATAAGGAAAACAGGGAAAAGTCTTCCTCCCATTCCTTCTCCCAGCTTCCCAGATCCACAATCCCACTTCCTTGGGCAAGGGGACTTCAAAAAGTACATGAGAATAATTGGGCACTGGAAGGTGCGCATGCAGCAGCCTGGAGTGAATCCAGGCTGCCAATCCAGCTTCCTGTTAATGCAGCCTGGGAGGCAGCAAATGAGAGCCCAAGTACTTGGGTCCCTGCCCCACCCCACCTATGTGCGGGAGAGCTGGATGGAGCTCCAAGCTCTTGGCTTCAGCCTGGCCCAGCCCTGGCTATTGCCAGCATTTGAAGAGTGAACCTGCAGGTGGAAGATCTCTCTGTCATTCCGACGTAACTCCAGCAGATGGCGACATGGCTGGGAGGCTAGTTAGCAGCCAAGTGCAGCAGAAGGCATTGCCCCCAGAGAGCTGTGTGACCTGTGGGGTGCAGAGGCCCCAAGAGTTCAGCATGGGGACACACACAGAGCAGCAAGTCCAGATGAGGCTGGACAGCAGCAGGGGGGCTGGATCACCGTGTGCAAGTCCTGGGGCCTCGCCCGTAGGCAACAGGGAGCTGTTGAAAGCTTTTAGTGGGGCTGGCGCTGTGGCGTAAGGGTAAATCTGCCGCCTGCAGTGCCAGCAACCAACATGGACGCCGGTTCATATCCCAGCTGCTCCGCTTCTGATCCAGCTCTCTGCTAGGGCCTGCTATGCTCTCTGCTATGGCCTGGGAAAGCAATAGAGGATGGTCCTTGGGTCCCTGCATCCACATGGGAGACCTGGAAGAAGCTCCTGGCTCCTGGCTTTGGATCGGCTCAGTCCACCCATGTGGGTGTAGGGGCCCAAGGACTTGGGCCATCTTCTGCTGTTTTCCCAAGCGCATTAGCAGGGAGCTGGATCAGAAGTGGAGCAGCCTGGACTCGAACCGGCATCCATATAGGATGCTGGCACTGCAGGCAAAGAAGGTTACTGCCTCGCAACAGGGCGTATGTCTCTCCAGAGTTTGCCAGGAAGGAATCCACAGACAATTTTTTTATTAATGATTATTTATTACAATCAATGCTATAACTTTATTGCTTGATTTTCTAGCACAAAAGAGATGCTACAGTGAAGCCTCTTTTGTCTCGGGGCCCCTCTGAGGCCCCCTCTCCTGGGCTGGGTCTTTAGGCTCTTCTGTTTCCCATCTTCCCTTTCACCTGCTGAGTCCCACCAAGACAATCCCCACATGGGTGCCAGCTGCCAGAGTCCCCAGGGCCGTCCACAGGTGCAGCATCCCCCAGCCTGGGGGAGGGCATGACCTTGGGCATCACATTGCCGTGAGTTAGAAGGAAAGTAGCCCCCCTCCCGCCCACCTGAGCCCCCAAAGGCCTCACCCTCAGGGAAGAAGGACCATGAAAGTGGCCTCAGGCTGCAACCAGAGAAGCTGCACTGGGTGCACCTGCTGGAACCTTGCACTCACTGCTCTCCACAGGGAGGGTGTATGGGGGTGGGCAGGGTAGGCAGGGTCAGCGTCAGACTCTTGCTCTTGGCTGGCAAACCTGGGGACAGCCCCAATGTCCAAGGCCCTCAGCAAACATATTCCAGATGCAAAGGGCAGTAAGTGGAGGAAGACCTTGGCTGGATGCCTCCATCTTTATGGATATCTGCCAAAGCAGATGGGGGTGGAGTGGGGTGGGGGAGAGGGGCTGGCAGAAGTCAGTGAAATCTCCCTAGTGTGGCCCCGCTGGTGACAGTGACCTCAGCATCCTTCACCAGGGAACATTCTAGAAGCAAACACTGTGGACCTGCCCCCAGAGGGCATCAGCAACTCAGTGACTTAGGCTTTAACAAGTCGCCATGAAGCGCTCTAAAAGGGAGGTGTTGACGCATGCTCAAGTTGGACAATCATTCAGTGAAAAGCCTCTGGGGAGGGGGCGGGGGCAGCCTGCCCACCCACCACCACCACCACCACCACCACCACCCCCGCTCGCACTAGAAGCCGTCAAGGATGGTGGGGAAGGTGAGGCTGAAGGGCCCCTCATTCCACAGAGTTCTCGAGCCCTTCCACCCAACCAACCCCAAACCTGGCCCCTTTCCCCGCCCTCCCTGAGCCTCTTTCTGGAACCCTTGCGCCTCCTCCCTGGCTGACCTTGACCTCGCATCTCCCATCCCCCACCGCGTCGCCCCAACTTCCTCCCACCCTTCTCGGAACTGCTGGGGACTCACCCCCACCGAGTCCCCAGCCCCCTCAGCCCACCCCCACCCGTCTCCTTCCCGGGGCCCAAGCCTGAGATCCAAGCCCCGCCGCCCTCAGCGCCCTGGCCCCGCCAGCCGCCTCAGGCCTCCTGGCCATCCGGCCCCACGAGCAGCAGCGGCTGCGCATTCTTGCCCTTGTCATGCCAGCACACGTCGAAGAAGGGGTACACGGGCCCGGGCAGGCGCTCGCGGAAAGCAAACAGCAGCTCGAGCGCGTCGGCGTCGCTGGCGTCGTAGAAGGCGAGCACGCCATCGCCGAAGCTGAGGTAGAGGCCGAGGCGCGTGGGCCGCCGCTCCGGGGTGCGCAGCGCGCGCGGCTCCTTGGCCTCCACGTGCGCCTCCAGGGTCTTGCCGTCGCGCAGCCCCAGCAGCCACAAACCCTGTGAGGGCACGGCGTGCAGCCGGCCACGGCGGCTCGCCTCGGAGGCCATCACGCCCAGCGCCCAGCGCGGCTTGTCGCCCACCTCCACCTCCCAGTAGTGCTCGCCGTCGGACAGCAGCTGCTGCGCCACCACGGCCACAGCCTTGTCGAACTGGCGCGCGTCGTCCCCGGCGGGCGGCGCCTTCTGCTCCGAGCACTCCACTCGGCGGCCCGTGGGTGACACCACGAGGCTCGGGTGCGCGGAGCTCGGGTCAAAGGTCAGCTCCTCCAGCGCTGCCGGAAAGACCGAACGGTCTGGCTCCACCCCGCACACCCGCACCTCCGCCTCCATCCCCACCGCCTTGGTGGCTGCTGCGCCCCGCTTCCAAGCCCTCTCCCAACAGGATCTCTCGGGCTCGGTGATCGCACCACCCCTCTCGGAGCCACAGTTGTCACCCTGTGGGCGCACGGATTCCACCTGAGACCTGTAGTCACACCCTGAGGGAGGCCCAGGGCTCCAGGTCACAGAGAAGGGGGGTGCCAGGTGTCCCAGACACTCTGCAGGTGCCAGCCCTCAATCTCCAGAAAACATCCCTCCACTGTCCAGGGGAGGGCAGGGACTGCCCAGGGATCACACAGGGGGGTGGGGGAGGGGTCAGTGGCTCAAACCCAGGCCCTTGCCTCCCATCTGCCACCAGCCACCACAGCACTGCTGGGGACAGCAGCATCCTGTCCACGTCCAGTCACCCACTGCACGCCACCCAGAGGTCCTTGTCCAAGCACCAGCTAGGGTGTGGGAGCAATGGGTCTTCTGCCTTCCCAGCTGGGATTCGGAGACTCCCACCATGGTGGCCAGGGGCTCCCATCCACCACACCCACAAACCTGAAGTCCACCCCTCCCAGTACCTGGCATCAGAGCCCGGAACATCTTCCTCCACACCTGGAATTTGAAGTCATCTGAAATGATGGGCAGCTGGATGTCCAGACGAGCAGGTGGTGGCGACTCCGCCAGGATCTTCTGCAGCCTTGGGGGTGGGGAGGGCAAGGGAGGAGTCTGTGAGGGAGGAGGGCAAAAGGAAATAGCCCCAGGACCAGAAGATGGGGGGGCTCAGTCCAGGACCTCCCCCTACCCCGCCCCACCACACCCCTGCCTGAAAGTCTTCCGCCAGCGTTTTAGTTTGGGAAGATGAAAAAGTTCTGGGAAGGGATGAGCACACAATATGCGTGTTCTTCATGCCACTGAGCATGAAATGGACACTTAAAAATGCAATGGTTGGGGCCAGCGCTGTGATGCAGTAGGCTAAGCCTCCACCTGCAGCGCCTGCATCCCATATGGGCTCTGGTTCCAGTCTCAGCTGCTCCTCTTGCAATCCAGCTCCCTGCTAATGCACCCAGGAAAGCATCAGAATGGCCCAAGTGCTTGGCCCCCTGCACCTATGTGGGAGACCCCAAAGGAACTCTGGCTTCAGATCAGCCCAGCTCTGGCCATTGTGATCATTTGGGGAGTGAACCAGTGGGTGGAAGATCTCTTTCTCTCTCTGTAACTCTGCCTTTCAAAAAAATAAATATTTTAGGCCGGCGCTGTGGCTCACTAGGCTAATCCTCCGCCTTGCGGCGCCGGCACACGGGGTTCTAGTCCCAGTCGGGCGCCGGATTCTGTCCCGGTTGCCCCTCTTCCAGGCCAGCTCTCTGCTGTGGCCCGGGAGTGCAGTGGAGGATGGCCCAAGTACTTGGACCCTGCACCCCATAGGAGACCAGGAGAAGCACCTGGCTCCTGCCATCGGATCAGCTCAGTGCGCCGGCCGCAGCGCGCCGGCCGTGGCGGCCATTGGAGGGTGAACAAACGGCAAAGGAAGACCTTTCTCTCTGTCTCTCTTTCTCTCTCACTGTCCACTCTGCCTGTCAAAAATAAATAAATAAATAAATAAATAAATAAATATTTTTTAAAAATGCAGTGGTCAGTATGTGTTCTGCAGATTCTACCACCATTTAAAAACCAAACAAAACATCCTGGGGGCGACTGCTGGGCACAGTAGGTAAGACGCCCACATCCTGTATCAGAGAGCCTGGGCTCAGTTCCTGGCTCCAGCTTCCTGCCACTGCAGGAAGACCCTGGGAGGTAGCAGCGATGGCTCCAGTAATTCAGTTCCTGCCACCGACATGGGGGACCTGGTTTGCATTCTTGGCTCCCAGCTAGGGGAAGGGGGAGTCGGTGGATGGGAAGTCTGCTTGCTCGCTCTCGCTCTGTGTGTGTGTGTGTGTGTATGTGTGTGTCTCACCCTCTCTGACTGTCAAATAAGTACTTAAAATAATGCCCAACTAAAGAAGAAGAGATTTTAAAACCCCACCTGCCAGGATGAGGTCCAAGCCCCTCAGTCCTCCCCAGTTTGCCACAATGGCTTCATCATCTCGCCCACTTCCCTGTCTGCACATGCTATTCCCTCCACCTACACTTGCTCTTCCCTATTTTTTTTAATATTTATTTATTTGAGAGGCATAGTAACAGAGATAGAAGGAGAGAGAGAGAGAGAGAGAGAGAGAGAGAGAGAGAGAGAGGTCTTCCATCCACTGGTTCACTCCCCAACTGACCACAACGGCCGGAGCTGCCCCCATCCTCCAGGTCACCCATGCAGGTGCAGGGGCCCTAGGACTTGGGACATCTTCTACTGCTTTCCCAGGCCATAGCAGCAAGCTGGATCAGAAGTGGAGCAGCCAGGACTCAAAATGGCACCCATATGGGATGCTGGCACTGCAGGCGGTGGCTTTACCCGCTATGCGACAGCGCCAGCCCCTCTTCCCTAACTCTTTACCTAGCTAATTCCTGTCCATTCCTCCATGGTGCAGTTCAAATGTCCACTCCTCCAGGAAGCCTTCCCTGGCCACCCCCTCCATCCCTGGTGGCAGCACCAGGCACACAGTGATGCCTTCACCCTTGCCCACATCTGCCTCACAGCACCAGTCTGTCTGGGAGGCCCACGAGGGTGAGGACCAGGACTGATTCATTCCCACGGAGAATATCACATGCAGGGAAGTGGCGGGGGGCCACATGGGGACTCTCCAGGATGCTATCAGAGAGAGCAAGCCAGCTGCGTCACTAGAAGACTGGGGCAAGTTGGGCAAAGGGCCAGGGCCAGTGGCTCTCACCTGCTGGTCACCAGGCAATATTTCTGGAGAGAGAGAGAGAGAGAGAGAAAACATGAAGGTATAGCAGACGAGGGGGACACCGGGGACTTTTGAGGATGACGTAGACAACCAGGGACGCTGAGGAAGACTCAGTAAAGCCAAGGAAACCCCCAAAGTCAAGGTTAACCCTAGCCCTTTACCTTGGCTTCCCTGTTAGAAGTTGTCCTGACAAATTCAAGAGCCTTCAATGACTTTGATGGGAACAGTGCCAGACAGAGTGGCTTGTGCAGTAACCAACCAAAAATAGCACAGCAGCCCTGAGTCCCGCCCCTCTTGGCCATGCCACCCTCTCCAGGTGGCAGGGTCCCCATGGGACAATGGGCTGAGGTCTCCCCCCGCAGCCTGCGCCGAGGCTCAGGGCAGGGAGGGGAAGTCACCCAGCGCTCACCATAAGGAACTCGGTCTGTGGCTTGTCAGCCACCTCCTCCAACACCTTCTCCATCTGCCGCAGCTGCTCCAGGTACGAGTGGAGGCCCCCCAGCTCCCGCCGCAAGGCCACCCCCGCCTCGCTCCGCACACGTTCTGCCTCGCGGTCCAGGGAGCCCTCCAGGGCGGCCAGGAACACCCGCATCTTGCCCAGCTGCTCCCCCACTGCCCCCCGGAACTGACGCACTGTCTCCTGGACAGGAGAGAAGGGCAGACAGGAAAAGCACTTGGTGGGGAGAGGGGCCTCCCAGCCTGGACCGCTCTGTCCCCAGGCTCGGCCGGGCGGAGCCCCTCACCTCCACCTCCGTGAGCTGGTGCTCCAGCACGGCCACGCTCTTCTCCTTGCGCATGCTCGCCTCCTGCAGCTGCAGCTTCTGCTGGGGCAGCTGCGTCTGGGGGCGGGGCATGAATAAGTGATGAGGAGGCCCCACCCCAGAACCACGCCTCGCCCCCCCCCCCAATCTGGTTCCGAGGCCTGCTTGACTTCCCTTCCCAAGGTCTAGTTTAACTCTTCCCTGGCCTTGCCTTTTCCCATTCCATCGGCTCAACCTCAGCCCAGGTCTTAGGAAGACCCACACTGTGTGGTCTGGTTTCCAGCTCCAGACATTGGAGCACAGAGTGAAGGATGCTGGGAAGAAGAAATGCAACCCCCACCCCTAGCCTGGGCTTCACCCTTTATGTAAAAAACAGAGCACCAGCCTCAGTCGGATCCCAGGGAGGCGCCCAGCACATCCCTGGGTTCTTGGAGACAGGCAACTTAGTGACAGTGTGCCCTGCACCAACCAGTCAAACCGTGCTGTGGACTGGATCCTAGCCTGTGGCTTGGTGATTCCTGAAACGCAAATATAGGGGAGCTCTTAACGGTTCTTCAGGGAAGTGTCTGGCCTGGGAATCGGTCCCATTCCTGCTCCATGGACTTCCAACCTCACTTTCCTCCTCTGCAGAATGGGTACAGGAATTCCCACCTCAACAAATGCTCAGCCTCCACTCCCCTAGGGGAACCTGCGGTGGGGGGACCTCCAGGCAGTGTTTGTCAAGGAGTTCTGGCTGGGCAGCCGCCACAACGTTGGACCAGGGGCTCCCCAGGCTGGCTTCCCCGTGAGTCTCCTCCCCAGGACATCCTGCCACGGGAAAGAGCGGACCTGGTGAGCTCTGGGGCCTTCGGAGGTTCAGAAGTGGCAAGAACTGAGCCAGAGGGAAGAAGTGGGACACTCCTGGAGGGGCTGGAGCGCCTGACCGCGGATGAGCTCCAGTTCAGGCTCTAGCTGGGGACTTCTGCAACATCCCGCGAGGGGGCGCTCGGGCTGCGGCACGCTGGCGCCTCGCAGACAGGCTGGTCACCGACTAAGGGGAGGGAGCTCCCGGCCGCCGTGTAGGGCGACTTGGCGCGCCTCCAGGGGTGCCGCGTGAGTCCCCAGTGCCCAGTGGATCCCTTCAGCCCCTCGGAGTCAGGGGACCTGCACTACAGACCCAAATCCTCTTCCCCCCTCCTCCCTCCTCCTTCTTCTCCTCCTCCTCCTCCCTCCTTCTGTCCGCTGAGGCCCCAAGGTGTCCCCAAAGCTCCTGTTGCCCCCCCGCCGCCTCCCTGTGGCTCTGGACCTCTGGTTTTTGCAAGGAAGGATGGATTGCGTCCAGCCTGGCCCCTGAGGGTCTTCTGGGCCACCGGACGCCCTGCTCCATTTCACAGGTTCTGTTCTTCCTTCGCAGATACAGATGAGCCAGGTTGGGAGTTTTGGGGTCATCAGCACAGGGGAGCCTGGGCTGCGAGGGCTCCTGGGCTGGACAGAGCAAGGCAGAACGGGAGGGCGCCCTGGGGAAGTCTGGAGCCTTGGACAGGGGCCTGCGGACGGTGTTCTGCCCCCTCTAAGTGACCAGGGCCGAGGAGAGGAGCAGCGCAGGGCTGACACCAGCGGCAGTGTCTCCAGCACTGGGACCCAGGACCTCTCCTGGCCTCCAGACCTCGCCTCCTCCCGGCCGTGCGCGGTCGCTTATTCGTCCACAGCCCAATAAATCCTTCGGATGGACCGTCGGGGCCTGTGTGGACACACACTCGCCAGTAGCCACACGCGTGTGATTTACTACACGTGAAACCTGCGCGCCCTGGCGTGCACCCGCGTCTCCATTGGCCGACGTCTGGGCGTCTGCTGGGTACCCGTGGGGATCGTCAGCCCCGGGGCGCGCGCACGCCTGTCTAAGGGCTCTCGAGGCGTTCAGGACTTCCGGCCTCAACCAGAAAAACGTCCTGGACTCGCGGAGGGGCAGTCTCAGGGCCACCCTTGGCCTGCGTGCCCCCCACTCTGGCGACCGCCAGACCCGCGCAGATTCGGCAGAGGGAGTGCGTGCGCCACCGCCGCGCAGCCCGGCCCCTCCTCGAACCCCACGTCCCTCATCGTCCAGGGCCCACGCTACGCAGGCGAGTCCGCCAGAGCGCTCGTGGGCCGCAGGCGCTGACTCGGTCTAGGCTCCGGCTGTGCACAGCACCCGCCCCGCGCCGCTCGGTCCCAGGCTCCGCCTTCGGCCCCTCAGACCCCACCCTCCTGCCCTGGCCGCTCCCGCCCTGGTGAAAGGAAGACCTCCCGCGTAGGCCAGACCCCCGCCCCGTTCACCAACGGTGCCTCCGACCCCGACTCCCGTCCGGTCCGCACCTTGAGACGCGAGTGGGCCTCGGCGGCGGGCAGCAGGCGGTGGCCGCGGTGCGAGCCGAGCGAGGCGCACACGCCGCACACGAGAACGCGGTCCTGCTCGCAGTAGATGCTCAGCGGGTCCAGGTGCTCCTCGCAGTGGCCCTGCGGCACCTGCGCCAGCCCCTCCACCAGGCGCGCCAGCTGCAGGTTGGTGCTGAGCGCCTGCGGCCGCGTGGGCGCCTGGCAGCACGGGCAGTTCACGGTGCCATCGGCCGCCGGCTCCCCCGCCACGCGGCTCAGGCAGGCGCGGCAGAAACTGTGGCCGCACTCGGCTGTCACGGGCGCGTCGAACAGCTGCAGGCACAGCGGGCAAGACAGCTCCTGGTGCAGGAGGCCGGGCGCGGCCGACATGGCGGGCCTGGGAGGGTGGAGGGACGCTCCCTCAGGGAGGCTCGGCCCCAGCCTGGGGAGACCCCCTCCCTTACTGCAGGGGCTCTGGTTTTAGCAGAGGCAGCTTCAGCTGCAGTTCCATGCCCCCAGCCCCTAATATATGTCCCATTGGGCCCTTGTGGACCCCAGACCTTAAACACAAGACCGGGATCCACTGTCCTTGCCCTGTCCCAGGGGGAGGCCTCTGACCCAGGCCTGGGCCTCAGCTCCAGTCCCCAAACTCTCCAAGTCCTCGCCTCCCGCGGCTTCAGCGCCCCCAGCCTTTCCCTCCCCCCACATCTCCCAAGACTCACAGCTGTGGTTGGAGATCCTAGGCAGAAAGGGACTCCCAGGAAGAACAGTCAGGGGCAGGCCTAACTGAAAGGGTCAAAGCCGTGTCCCAAGACAAGCGACGGAAACGCTCAGAGCGAGCACAGGAGCCTCACGGGGCAGCTGGCAGTGGACACCAGCGGGTGATGGCGCCTGGCAAACAGCGGGCCGATCCTCCCGGCCAAGCCAGGGCCCCAGGGACTATATTTAGCGTCTCTGCCCATCCCCTCCCATCACTTCCGGAAACTGTTCTAAAAGTGAGGATTGAGTAGTTGGCCAGCAGACGTCATATGTCAAGGCCACCTGTCCTGAACCATCTACTGTCCTCCTGGCTCCCAGTCTGAAGCCAGAACGCCAGGCCAGCCAGGAGGCAGGGCCTCCCCATAACATGGAGAAGGCAAGAAATTGCAGGGGTGGGCTCCCCTTTCTCTCCCCCCACCTTGCAGTCTCCCCTTCTTTCTTCCCTGCCCACAGTCCCTTCCCAGCTTGTCACCCCACTCAGGTCCCAAACTCATGGCTCAGAATACTGACAGGAAGACCTCCCACCTTGGGGCCATTGCTGTGGCATAGCGGGTAAAGCCTCCACCTGCGGTGCCAGCGTCCCGTATGGGCACCAGTTCTAGTCCTGGCTGCTCCACTTCCGATCCAACGCTTTGCTAAGGCCTGGAAAAGCAGTAGAAGGTGGCCCAAGTCCTTGGGCCCCTGCACCTGCGTGGGAGACCCAGAAGAAGCTCCTGGCTCCTGGCTTCAGATTGGCAAAGCTTCAGCCGTTGTGGCCATTTGGAGAGTAAACCAGCTGATGGAAGACACCCCCCCCCCGCCGCCGCCTCTCCTTCTCTCTGTGTCTCTGTGTGTAACTCTGACTTTCAAATAAACAAATAAATCTATTTTTTTTTTAAAAGACCCACACTTGCAGGAGGGCAGCTGGCCCTCGCTCCACCCTGGAAAACTCCCCGAGTGGAAGGGAAGGTCTATTCCGTGTGGGTCTTCCCAGTGCCCGGCACAAACCCTAGGAGCAAATATGTGGAGAACAAATGAAAGGCAGTTGAATAAATGAATGCACTGCTTCCAGAACCTGCAGCCCAGACAGAACTCAGTGCTGCCCCGGGACCCTCGGACTTTCCTGTATGCTTATCCTTCAACTGTGTTTAAATTTCACTCTGAATGAAAACCCAAGCCCTCTCTTCAGCCTCCAAGGCCCCCTGCCTGATCTGACTCCAGAGTCATTGCTCTGACCTGATTCTCACCCCCTCCCCTCTACTCACTCCAACCTCAGGGACTCTGCACCTGCCGTACCCCTTTGCCTGGGACACCCTTTCAAAGCCAGGGAGTCCGCAGCTCCCTCGTTCCTGCCCCAAGTTCCTACACTCAGTGTCACCTTTCCAGTGTGGCCTTTCCTACCCTCCTGACTTCAAAGCTCCTGTCTCGCCAGCCAGTCTCGCCTTTCTTCCCTGTGTTATTTTTCTGCATATTTATCCCCATCTGACATGCAAGATAATTCACTTGTTTGGTGGTTTATTGTCTCTGTTCTCCTATCAGAGGATACATGTTGTTCACTGCATGCCTCCAGCTTAGAATAAGGTGTGTGGCACACAGTAAGTGCTCAAAAAGAAATGAATGGGGGCCACCACTGTGGCATAGTGGCCTAAACCTCGCCTGCAATGCCAGCATCCCATATGGGTGCTGGTTCAAGTCCTGGCTGCTCCACTACTGATTCAGCTCCCTGCTATTGTACCTGGGAAAGCAGTGGAAGATGGCCCAAGTGTCTGGGCCCCTGCACCCACGTGGGAGACCTGGAAGAAGCTCCTGGCTCCTGGCTCCTGGCTCCTGGCTCCAGCATGGCCCAGCCCCAGCTGTTGAGCCTTCTGGGGACTGAACCTGCAGTTGCAAGATCTCTCTCATTCTCTCACTCTCTCTGTAGCTCTGACTTTCAAGTAAGTCTTTTTAAGAAGAAAAAAGCAGCAGCAATGAATGATGCCCAGTTCCTCTTGTGCAACATCCCAGTCAAGGTCAGCCTTTACCTGGCTTTGCTGTTTCCTCTCCCACCACTCCTCTCCAAGTCTCTGTTTCTGTTTCAGTCTCTTACTCTCCCTTTGGACTTTGTCTTTGCCTCCCTCTTAGGCTTTCAGTATTCGTTGTTATTAATTTTATCCTTTTTTTTTTTTTTTTTTGACAGGCAGAGTGGACAGTGAGAGAGACAGAGAGAAAGGTCTTCCTTTGCCGTTGGTTCACCCTCCAATGGCCACCGCGGCTGGCACGCTGCGGCCGGCGCACCGCGCTGATCCGATGGCAGGAGCCAGGTACTTATCCTGGTCTCCCATGGGGTGCAGGGCCCAAGCACTTGGGCCATCCTCCACTGCACTCCCTGGCCACAGCAGAGAGCTGGCCTGGAAGAGGGGCAACCAGGACAGAATCTGGCACCCCGACTGGCACTAGAACCCGGTGTGCCGGCACCGCAAGGCGGAGGATTAGCCTAGTGAGCCGCGGCGCCGGCCAATTTTATCCCAAATGTGCACTTGGGATGTTCCCGATACGAGTCAGATTCCTTATTAAATAACACAAGACTGGGGCCAGCGCTGTGGTGTAGCAGGTAAAACCCTCGCCTGCAGTGCCGGCATCCCTTATGGCTGCTGATTCAAGTCCCATTCAAATTGGAAGATGGCCAAATTCCTTGGGGCTCTGCACTTTGTGGCAGACCCGGAAGAAGCTCCTGGCATTAGCCTGGCCCAGCCCTGGCCATTGCAGCCATTTGGGGAGTGAATCAGCAGATGGAAGATCTCTTGCTGTCTCTCCGTAATTTTGCCTTTCAAATAAATATATCTTAAGAAAAAAAAAAAATGGAGCCGGCACTGTGGTATAGCAGGTAAAGCAGCTGCCTGCAGTGCCAGCATCCCATATGGGCACCAGTTCGAGTCTCGGTTGCTCCACTTCTGATCCAGCTTGCTACTATGGCCTGGGAAAGCAGTAGAAGATGGCCCAAGTCCTAGGGCCCCTGTACCCGCATGAGAGACCCAGAGGAAGCTCTTAGCTCCTGGCTTCGGATTGGCACAGTTCCGGCCATTTTGGCCAATTTGAGAGTGAACCAGCGGATGGTAGACCTCTCTCTCTCTTCTCTCTGTATAACAGGAGAGGCTTCAGCCCATCTACTGGTTCACTCCCCTTAAGGCCAAAACAGCTGGGGCTGCGCCAATCCGAAGCCAGGAACCAGAAGCCAGGAGCTTCTTCAGGATTACACAGAGAAGGAGAGGAAGAGAAAGAGAGAGGTCTTCCATCCACTGGTTCACTCCCCAGTTGGCCACAACGGCTAGAGCTGCACCAATCCGAAGCCAGGAGCCAGGAGCATCTTCCAGGTCTCCCACATGGGTGCAGGGGCCCAAAGTCTTAGACCATCTTCTACTGCTTTCCCAGGCCATAGCAGAGAGCTGGGTCAGAAGTGGAGCTGAGATTTGAACCAGTGCCCATATGGGATGCTGGTGGCATGGGCAAAGACTTAGTTTACTGCGCCACAGCACCAGCCCCAAGAACGATTTTCTTTTCCTTTTTTTTTTTTTTTTTTTTTTTTTTTTTTTGACAGGCAGAGTGGACAGTGAGAGAGAGAGAGACAGAGAGAAAGGTCTTCCTTTGCTGTTGGTTCACCCTCCAATGGCTGCCGCGGCTGGCGGCTGTCTCCCATGGGGTGCAGGGCCCAAGCACTTGGGCCATCCTCCACTGCACTCCCTGGCCACAGCAGAGAGCTGGCCTGGAAGAGGGGCAACCGGGACAGAATCCGGTGCCCCGACCGAGACTAGAACCTGGTGTGCCGGCGCCACAAGGTGGAGAATTAGCCTAGTGAGCCGCGGCGCCGGCTCGATTTTCTCTGTTTCTAAAGGGGAAGAGGAAGCTGCCCACCTCTCCTCTATGAAAATCTCCACCTGACTCCAACATTCCGGTGGGTAAAAAATTCTCCCCTGGAGCCAGATAGCCCCTTGCAGCCTTTGGGACAAATCCTAGGTCTTGTCCCCCAGTGCCGGGGGCTCGCTGTGCCTTCTGGAAACTTGCATGCCATCTGGGGAAGACGCTACTCCAGGCATTCTGACACATCGAGCTCTTAATGTAGAGCCCTTGCTCAAGAAGAGACCAGACCCACATAGAAAACCAGGAGGAAGTACCTGGCTCCTGGCTTTGGATCGGCACAGCACCAGCCATAGTGGCCATTTGGGGAGTGAACCAACAGAAGGAAGAGCTTTCTCTCTGTCTCTCTCTCACTGTCTAACTCTTCCTGTCAAAAAAATTTTTTTTATTTATTTATTTGAGAGGTAGAGTTACAGACAGTGAGAGGGAGAGACAGAGAGAAAGGTCTTCCCTCCGTTGGTTCACTCCCCAAATGGCTGCAATGGCCGGAGCTACGCCAACCTGAAGCCAGGAGCCAGGCAATTCTTCCCAGTCTCCCACGTGGGTGCAGGGGCCCAAGCACTTGGGCCATCCTCCACTGCTTTCCCAGGCCATAGCAGAGAGCTGGACCAGAAAATGAGCGGCCTGGACTAGAATCGGTACCCATATGGGATGCTGGCACTGCAGGCGGAGGATTAACCCACTGCACCACGGCAATGGCCCTATTGGGCAAGTTTTATTCACCCCTTCTCTTTGTCTCTATGTCTCTGGTTTCTTCTCTGCCACTTTTTTTAAAAGAATTAGTTATTTGAAAGGCAGAGTTAGAGAGAGAAAGCTTCCACCTGTTGGGTCAGTTTAGTCCCCAAAAGGCCACAATAGCAGGGACTGGGCCAGGCAGAAGCCACAAGCCCAGAACACCATCCAAGTCACCCACATGGGTGCAGGGGCCTGAATACTTGGGCCATCTTTCTCTGCTTTCACAGGTGCATCAGCAGGGAGCTGGCTCAGAAGCAGAGCAGCCAGGACTTACACCGGCTCTCCTATGGGATGCCAGCATTGCAGGCGGCAACTTAACCTGCTGTGCCACAATGCCGCCGCTTTCTTCCCATTTCTGATGGCTCAGCAACAGGAAGGAGGTAGACCAGGGAATCCCTAAAGTTGGTCTCTGAAGCCACAGCCAGGAGCTCAAAAGCTCATTTTCGATTTTATCTGGGGCTTCACTGGATGCCAAGTTGGAGCTGCAGGTTCTGGCTGCTTTACCCTGGCATTCATAGGAGTCAGTGCCCAGGACAGGGAG